CTTTACTTCCTGATGTAAATGTACTTATAGCATTTTATGAACATGTTTCCATGTGACACCAACATAAAGTAGAGCATTATGGTGGCAAAGTTGGCTTTTTTAGAGAGTTTCATTAGGAATAATTCCAGAGTGGGTAGCTTTGCTTCTCTGTTCCTGCACTGGTAGTTGAGTAGAAAGGGAATATATTTACAACAATAAAGAAGAAACATCTGACTGGGGGGGGGCTCAGAATGGGTGTCATTGTTCAAGAAAGATATTAATTTTTCCTTCACTCACAAAAAGAGCTCTGTTTGGATTTGTTTTACAAATCTGAAGAGGTCACACTAAAATGTTTGCTGTTTTATACAACATAGGCAAGTCACCATGTTGCTTTCACTTTTAGCCATTGGCTGAAATCCTACCATAAAAGAAAATTCTGAACAAAGAGAAATGCATTTAAAAATAAATTTCAAGTTAAAAATATAGAAAAGAGCAAGAGCCCAGAAGCACCTTAAAGACTAACATAATTTATTGCAGGATATGAGCTTTTGTGAGTGACTGCTCACTTCAGATATGGAGCAGTGATTCATGGAAGCGCATACCCTGCCACAAATTTTGTTAGCCTTTAAGGTACTACTGGACTTTTGCTCTTTTCTACTGCTACATACTCACATGGCTACCCAACTTGATGTACTAAAAATATAATTATGTACCCAGATCATACATTTTTAAGTGTTTACATTAATCAGAAATCAGGCTTTTACATTGTCCATTCTTTTCTTGGAGAATCCAAGTTACATCTGAGGAAAGAATGACTGTGTTATTGAGCAGCTAAAACACCATACTGTGGCCATGTTCTATTATCGGCAACAACAGAAAATACGGACTTTATAGGATGTTAGACATGGCCTAGCTAATAGCTAGCCTGTTGCTGTTGCCCATGCACGACACAAGTAAGGGCAATAATTAGTAAATATTCACCTGCTTTCTCTCAACTACAGTTCTCTTTGAGAACTATCAACTTAATAGTTGCATGATCTGCACGGGGGACACACAGGGAACCAGCCAAGCCAGTTCAAGGCTCCATGTGGGCATGCCAGCTCCTCCCCCCCCATGCAAAAAAATCCAAAACAGCCTCCCTCCAGGGCTTTTTTTCTGCATGGGGACTCACAGGCAACCAGCCAAGCCAGTTCAAGGCTCCATGTGGGCATGCCAGCTCCCCCCATGCATTGGGGGGAAATAGACATTGTGAGTATTTCAGAAACTTGGTGGGATGAGGAAAATCAGTGGGATACAGTGATTCCTGGTTATACATTATATCGGAAGGATAGGGGGAGAAGGGTTGGAGGTGGGGTGGCTCTGTATCTCAGAGAGGGTATACAGTCCAATAAGATTGGGAGGGTAAGAGAATTGGATTCGCTTCTGGAAATGCTATGGGTTGAAATAGTGGGCCCAAAAGGAAGCTTAACTATTGGAGTTTGTTATCACCCACCAGATGAAAAGACAGATGAGGATTATAAAATGATGAATGAATTAAAGATAGCGGCTAGATGAAATAACTGTGTTGTAATAGGTGATTTTAACTACCTACACATTGATTGGGTCAATATGTGTTCAAGTTGGGAAAAAGAGATTGTGTTTCTAGACATTATCAATGACTGTGCTATGGAACAGATGGTCACAGAACCTACCAGGGGAGAAGCCATCCTGGATTTGGTCCTAAGTAATGTCCAAGACCTGGTGAGAGATGTAAAAGTGATTGCACCGCTTGGGAACAGTGACCATAATGTTATTGAGTTTAACATTTGTATAAATAGGGAGTTGCCCAAAAAGACTGACACAACCACTTTTAAATTTAAAAGAGGTACATTCTCTGATATGAGGGGACATGTGAAGAGGAAACTGAAAGGAAAAGTAGAAAGGGTCACAACCATTGGTGAAGCATGGAGACTATTTACAGTCCTAGAAGCTCAGAAAAATATATACCACAGGTTAGGAAAGGCACAAATAGGTATATAAAAAGCGTGCATAGTTAACAAAGTAATGGAAGCTGTAAAGGGTAAGAAGGATTCCTTTAAGCGGTGGAAAGCTAGTCTCAGTGAGGTTGATAAAAGGGAACATGGACTGTGGTAAATAAAATGCAAGTCTGTGATCAGGCAGGCAAAAAAGGAATATGAGGAGCATATAGCAAAAAACATAAAAACCAACAATAAAACTTTCTTCAAATACAGTAGAAGCAGGAAACCAGCCAGGGAGGCAGTGGGGCTTTTGGATGACCAAGGGGTAAAAAGAGTACTGAAGGATAATAAGGAAATGGCTGAGAAGCTGAATGCATTTTTTGCCTCCATCTTCACTGTGGAAGATGAGAAGTGCTTGCCCACTCCAGAACTGCTGAGTTCGGGAGGGGTGTTGAAAGACCTGAGTCAGATTGAGGTGATGAGAGAGGAGGTCCTATAACTGATAGACAACTTAAAAACTGATAAATCACCAGGCCCGGATGGCATACATCCAAGAGTTCTGAAAGAACTCAAATGTGAACTAGTGGATCTCCTGACAAAAATATGTAATCTTTCATTAAAATCTGCCTCCATTCCTGAGGACTGGAAGGTAGCTAATGTTATTCCCATCTTTAAAAAGGGTTCCAGAGAAGATCCAGGAAATTACAGGCCAGTCAGTCTGAGGTAGATACTGGGTGAATTGGTGGAAACTGTTATTAAGGAAAGAATTAGTAGGCACATTGATGAACAAAAACTATTGAGGCAGACTCAGCATGGGTTCTGTAAGGGAAGATCTTGTCTCACTAACCTGTTAGTGTTCTTTGAGGGGGTGAACAAACATATGGATAAGGGGGACACAATAGAAGTTGGCTCCTAAGTAAGCTCAATAGTCACGGGATAAAAGGACAAGTCCTTTCGTGGATCATTGTCATGGGGGGGGAGGATTCCCGACAACAGAAGGGGCATAAGCATGTATTATGTATGTATCTGCCCGTTGTCATGGGGGGGGAGGATTCCCGACAACAGAAGGGGCATAAGCATGTATTATGTATGTATCTGCCCGTTGTCATGGGGGGGGAGGATTCCCGACAACAGAAGGGGCATAAGCATGTATTATGTATGTATCTGCCCGTTGTCATGGGGGGGGAGGATTCCCGACAACAGAAGGGGCATAAGCATGTATTATGTATGTATCTGCCCGTTGTCATGGGGGGGGAGGATTCCCGACAACAGAAGGGGCATAAGCATGTATTATGTATGTATCTGCCCGTTGTCATGGGGGGGGAGGATTCCCGACAACAGAAGGGGCATAAGCATGTATTATGTATGTACAGATCAGCCAGTATCATAATGCCCCTGTATAAATCAATATCGATGGTGCATTTGGAGTACTGTGTACCGTTCTGGTCACCACACCTCAAAAAGGATATTATAGCATTGGAAAAAGTGCAGAAAAGGGCAACTAGAATGATAAAAGGGTTGGAACACTTTCCCTATGAAGAAAAGTTAAAGCACTTAGGGCTCTTTAGCTTGGAGAAATGACGGCTGAGGGGTGACATGATCAAGCTTTATAAGATTATGCATGGGATAGAGCAGGTCGAGAAAGAAGTACTTTTCTCCCTTTCTCACAATACAAGAACTCATGGGCATTCAATGAAATTGCTGAGCAGTTGGGTTAGAACAGATAAAAGGAAGCACTTCTTCACCCAAAGAGTGATTAACACATGGAATTCATTGCCATAGGAGGTGGTGGCGGCTACAAGCATAGACAGCTTCAAGAGAGAATTAGATAGGCGTATGGATCAGAGGTCCATCAGTGGGTATTAGCCACAAGGTATAGATAGGAACTCTCATTCTGGGGCAAGTGATGCACTGTATTCTTGGTGCTTGGGGGGGCAACAGGGGGCAACAGTGGGAGGGCTTCTAGTGTCCTGGCTCCACTGCTGGACCTCCTAATGGCAACTGGTATTTTTTGCTACTGTGTGACAGAGTGTTGGACTGGATGGGCCACTGGCCTGATCCAACATTGGCTTCTCTTATGTTCTTACGTTCTCATGACGTGCTCTCAGTGTTGGCCTGCCATTTTTGCTGTGGTGATAGGTGAACACTAGTGCAGCATCAGCAGAAAATGATCTTTGAGTTACACTTATGAATGATTTAGTTGCTTTCCTAAGTAGGTTTCAGAGTTGCCTTCGGATTTTATCCTAAGATTTGATTATTGTGATGTATCGAAAGGTCAGTTTTTCGTGTGCAGTAATTAGTATGACTGTATACTCTGAAAATGGTGAAGCAATCAGATGACTGTTTTGCTATGAATCCAATTGTAATAAAAAGTGAACTTGATACATAGCCAGAACTGATTCTTCATTTTGTTAATGAACTTATACATGCACTACATGCCAATCTTTAGTTAATTCAGCCTCAAGTACCTTGATCTATAAAAGTGAGAAGTGGTTGAACTTGGTCCTTGCAAAAATTCTTCATACTATGCTGGACATAAACTGACCTACTTTAATTTTAGTAGGAAATATGTTAATTTGTGGTATTAAGTGCCATAAGTATCCAAGATAAAAGCTGCCAACATGCACACTGTTAGATTTTTTTCCCTCTATAGAAATCCCCATGCCACCACTTGATTTATGCTGCTTAATCAAAATGTTGTTCATGGCAAAATATTTTGTTTTCATTTTCAGGCAGCAAGACTAAAAATAACCAGATTCTTGGAAATCTCTGTGGCTTGACTATGCCGAATGATTACCTCAAGGACGGTCTGTGAATGAAGACCAGCATGTTCAGGAATTCCAGTCAAGCTGTAACATACACTCAGAAGTCAGTAAAATGATCAGATTCCTTCATGAGTACGAAGCAGAGACTCTTCTGATAAAGACAAGATATTTGGCTTCAATGCACTAATTAGGTCCTCTCAGATGATCTGCTGGTATCTGTCTCTCCTTTGTGAAGATGTGCCTTTGAGCTCCTCAGCACACATTCCCCCACATTATAAAATAATCTAACCGAAGAAACATGTCTAAAAATTTGGAGATAATCAATTTGTCATTTTTATTGGAACATGAAAAGGAAATTATATTGGGGGTTCTGAAGAGAGATGAGTATTTGAAAAAAATTGAAGATAAGAGAATCAGGTAATTTAAAAAAAATTCTTTGCTCTTTTCTGAATTCTAGATTTGCGGGTACTGTCATTTAATTTTGGTAGATTTATATCCTGCTTTGAACTATTGCAGATCACAGTCTTAGGGCCAAACTGACTTCTCTTTCAACAAGCACAGGGAGGGGAAGCAAGATTGCCTGGTCCCACCACACCATGGCCTTCATGGCATTTTTAAATGGCCAAATTCAGTTCTAAAATGGTGTTGGCATCTACATGCCCAATCCATGGATAGCATAACATCTAGTTTAGAGAGCAATCCTTAGCAGGTCTACTCAGAATCCTGCTCAGGTCTATTCAGTGGGGCTCTTAAGATCATAAAGTTAATTCCCCAACAACCTGAGTGGTAGGTTGAGCTAAAAGATCTTTTAAAAGATTTTTCATCATAATAGCTGTGTCCCTAGGGCAGAAAATCTGCAATATAATTATAACAGAATTATTTGATGATCATTAAGAAAGAGCTCCAACAGCTAGGACTTCAGTATCTTGATATTCGTCTTCAATATTCTGTGTAGTCCCACATTGGGAACTGCACATGTGCAGGCCTGCCAACAGAGAGAATTTTCTAGCTTCTTAGGAGTAGATAGGGCACCCCTCCTCCTCAGCCTGTGCTCAGAGTACTTTCTGCTGAAACCGCGTCGAGGAAGAGAGGCACCATTTCCTCTCAGTTATTCTTCTGCTGTTGAGCTGAGGGCGACAGTTCTACCCTGGCTCTCTTCTTTCTGTGTTTTTTCTGATTGGATCTTCGCTGGAATACTCTCTTTTCTCGTTAGTGTCTCTACTATGACCCCAAAATCTTTGCTTAAAAAATGCATGCAATGTGGCATGAAAATGCCCCGCACAGATGTTGGTTCTTGCTGATTCTGCCACCATTTTACCCCCAAGGCCCAGGTAGACAGAGCATCTCACCTAAAAGCTGCCCTATGGTAATGCACCCTTTCAAGTTCTGATAAACTGGCAGAGAATTCATTTACTATGTGCAAACTTGCACCAAGAGCTGAATCTGTGGTTTTGGCCCAATCAGTTCTGACTTTAGATCCACATCAACGTCGGTCCCAATCTCTGGAACCATCCACAGCCCAGTGGAGCTCCTCTGAGCCTCGAGCAAATAAAGCATGTTCTAAATCCAAGCATTCGGGCAAAACTTTGGCTCTGAGCTGCCCCAAGCAACCTGACAGACCACTGAAGACTCTGATCTGAGACTCTCCAGAACTGATACTTTCAGAGGATGTCCTGTCCCTGGTGCTGTGTACACCTTCACTGCACTTTCAAGACCCTTTCAACTCTGACTCAGAGGTTGCACCCACCTCAGTTCCAGCAGTGTTGGCACTGATAGAGAAATAGCTTCCAGCTCCTCAACTGTCGGCTCCAACGCAACAGGACAAGCAGATGATGCCTTCTCAGCCATTTCCCTAGCAACCCTGGTGGGGAGGTCTGTAGCAGTTCCCATATCAGCAGGGCCATTGGTGTGGGTATCCACCTTGCCCTCAGCAGTGGAGTGAGCCACGTCCTTTGGATCCAAGTCCCTTCACATAAGCAAGTATCAGCCTCCGTTCCAATCCCACACATTCTCCCTGGAACTTCTTTGATGACTCAGGAGCATTTCCAACTAGGAGAAAGGCTACTGTTCCAAACTCAATTGAGAGCTTGCCACTGATCCTTCCCCTCAGATGAGGCAGTTAGGGACACCACTCTGGTTTCACGAACTGAAGACCTACACGTATTTTCCAAACAGATGCTCAGAATGGCAAAGTCCTAGATCCTGAGGTCATATCTACTAACCCTAAACCCAAGCACAAGATTTTGTTAGCGCTGTATTCTGATGCTCCTACCATTTTCTCTTATCTATATGACTGCATCCTCAGAGGACCTACTGCATCACTGTGTGGTCCTTACCCTTGCTGTGGTAGCTAAATTGGGATTAGCATTCATTTGGGAGAAATCTAAGATGATTCCTTGTCATGTAATTCGCTTCATTGGAGCAGATCTGGACTTCTCTAGGAGACAGGCATACCCACCACCCAACCATCTTAGTGCTATTAGGGCCTTGGTTTCCAGCTTCCAGTCAAACCTCTTTCAATCTGCACTCCAAGTGCAATGACTCTTGGGGTTTATGGCCTCAACAACTGCTGTAGTCCCCCTGGCCAGTTTGCATTTACACCCTCTGCAGAACTGGTTCTTGTGTAGAAGTAGAAGAAGAAGAGGAAGAGGAGGAGGAGGAGATTGGATTTATACCCCGCCCTTCTCTACCCAAAGGAGTCTCAAAGCGGCTTACAAACTCCTTTCCCTTCCCCTCCCCACAACAAACACCCTGTGAGGTAGGTGGGGCTAAGAGATCTCTTGACAGAAACTGTTCTTTTTCAAGAACAGCTCTTGTCAGAACTATCGCTTGCCCAAGGTCATCCAGCCAGGTACAAGTGGAGGAGTGGGGAATCAAACCCGGTTCTCCCAGATTAGAGTCCGCGCACTTAACCACTACACCAAACTTGGGTTCAATGCCTAATCCCACCTGCCTGTCTATTCCCAGGGTTATTGTTAGGTCCTGTCTGTGGTGGACTTCAGATGTTAACTTGTTGGTGGGGGTACCATTTGAGATACAACTCCCTACCCACAACCCACACAGATGCTTCCCTCTTGGGTTGGGATGCACATTGTGGGGATGTCACTGTGCAAGGGGTTTGGTCCAACCATGAAGTTACTATGCACATCAACTTTCTCAATCTAAGGGAAATTCGTTATGCTCTCTTTTGCAGACTTGCTCCACAATGAACACATACAGGTGCAGACAGGTAACACCACTGCCAAATTTTATGTCAACAAGCAAGGGGGCACGGGTTTGATGTGGAGAAGCTGCAAAAATTTGGAAGTGGGCAAGTCAGAACGACGTCCTTTTTCATGCAATTCATATTGCTGGGGTCCACAAATCCATGGCAGATGCATTAAGCAGGTTCACCCTCCCTCACTATGAGTGGTCCCTACTGAAGAGGTACATCCTCCCCATTTTCTAAAGGTGGGGTTTCCCAACCATGGATCTTTTTTTCCTACCTCTCAGAATGCCAAGGCAATGCTTTTCTGCTCAGGGTCTGGGCAAGGCGCACAATCCCTGGGGGATGTCTTTTGGGTCCCCTGGATGGGGGCCCCCCTCTTCTATGCCTTTCCTCTTCTTCCTCTGATCAGGAGGGTAGTAGCTGGGGTCCGAGCCCAGGGCACCCACTGTGTTCTGATTGCCTCTTTTAGATCTCAGCAGGCCTGCTTCGCAAATTTGCTGCTCCTATCCAGGGGATGCTGTATTCCACTACAGCCTGTGCCAGATCTTCTCCTCCACGGCTCCCTCAGGCATCAGGATGTAGCCAAGCTGCGTTTGACAGTGTGGCTCCTGAACCCCTTGAATTAGCCTTCTCTTCAGGGGTGCTGGAGGTGCTCCTCCATTCTTGGAAGTCGTTGACCTGCAACTCCTACAGTTGGAAATGGGATAACTTCTCTGGACAAAAACAAAGGGTTGAGCCTTTGCCCCTTGTTCTGGAGTATCTCCTGTCCCTTAGGGACCTGGGTCTCACTCCTTCCTCTTTGAATGTACACCTGGCCACAATTTCAGCCATGATTTTGTTGACAGTTCATTTGTTTTCCCCCATCACATTTCTAAGCAGTTTCTTAAGGGCTTGTCCAAACTGTGCCCTCCAAGACCACATGTGGTACCTTAATGGTCCTTGTCCCTGGTGTTGTCATAGAATCATAAGATTGTAGAGTTGGAAGGGACCTCCATGGTCATCTAGTCCAATCCTCTGCACAAGGTAGGAAATTCACAAATACCTCTCCCTCTACAGCTGCAGTGACTGCTGTTCCACACCCAGAAGATGAGAAAAAACCTCCAGGATCCCTGGCCAAACCAGCCTGGAGAAAAATTGCTTCCGGACCCCAAAGTGGCAATCAGCATTTCCCTGGACATGTAAGAAAGGGCCACAAGAACTAAGCACTGAGGCAACCCTTCCTGCCCTCACTCTCATGATCTGCCTAAGTTCACAGAATCCACTTGCTGTCAGATGGCCATCTAGCCTCTGTTTGAAAACCTCCAAAGAGGGAGAGCCCACCAACTCCCAAGGAAGCCTGAGGAACCGGCTCTAATTGTCAGGAAGTTCTTCCTAATGTTTAGCCGAAAACTCTTCTGATTTAATTTCAACCCGTTGGTTCTGGTCCAATCTTTTGGGGCATCAGAAAACAACTCTGTATCATCCTCTATATGACAGCCCTTCAAGTACTTGAAGATGGTTATCATATCACCTCTCAGTCGTTTCCTCTCCAGGCTAAACATACCCAGCTCCTTCAACCTTTCCTCTAGACCACTCACCATCTTCGTTGCTCTCCTCTGGACACGTTCCAGCTTGTCTGTATCCTTCTTAAATTGTGGTGCCCAAAACTGAACACAATACTCTAGGTGAGGTCTAACCAGAGCAGAGAAAAGCGGTACCATGACTTCACGTGATCTGGACACTATACTTCTGTTGATACAGCCCAAAATCGCATTTGCCTTTTTAGCAACCACATCACACTGCTGTCTCATGTTCAGTGTATGGTCTACTAAGACCCCTGGATCCTTTTTGCACATACTACTGCCAAGACAAGTCTCCCCAACCTGTAATTATGCATTTGATTTTTCCTACCTAAATGCAGAACTTTACATTTATCCCCACTGAAATTCATTTTATTTGTTTTAGCCCAGTTTTCCAGCCTGTCAAGATCTTCCTGTATCCTGACTCTGTCTTCTACCGTATTTGCTACTCCTCCCAATTTAGTATTACCTGCAAATTTAATAAGCATTCCCTCTGTCTCTTTATCCAAATCATTGATCATTGTCTCAGCTGATGATGCCCCCCTTCGAGCTGCTTCACAGCTGCCCTCTCTCTCTCCTCTCTATTAAGGTGTGCTTTTTGGTCACCATCACCTCTGCTAGGAGGGTTGGGGAGCTGGCTGCCCTTAGGG